TAGGGGCCTGAGCTGTGGAAGGAGATGCAATCAGAGCCTGGGGAAAGCAACCCAAATGGCCCTGGTGCCCAGGAGGAGAAGGAAGACCTCAGAGAGATGGGCTCCAGCACTGTCATCTGAGCTAGCATTTTGCAGCTGGCCTGGAGAGATCTGGCTGATGAAGAAAACACGAAGTACAGCCTTTCTATCACCCCACGCAACCTCCCTCCTTGTCTCACAACATCTTTTTCCTCCCTCTCATCAAATTTCTCCTAGGGGGTAGAAGTCCAGCTATATACACAAGACAGATCCCACCGCCCATTTCCCTGCATACATCACTATCTGAGGAGCATCCTCTGCTTGGTCGCGTCTGCGCTTGAGAAGGAAAGGCTCATGGCAGAAGAGGATGGGGTGTCCTTTTCTTATCATTTGCCACCAAAGATTATGCTGTGCTGCAATGGCTGGTGTCCTTGTCCCTGGTATAGTCTCACTATATGGCTTTTTACGTGCTGGGTTTACTAGCGGTCTTTCTTCTCAGACATGTAGTTAAGGCATCCAGAGACACCTACGGTTGCACAGAAGACTGGATCCTCGAGGCAGGTGAGTGCCCGCGACTCCCAGGAGGTGTATCCCATGACTCTCCATTGTGCATTATCCAGGAGCTTTGCCACCCAACTCGACCGCGTCAGCTCAGTAATGGGCAGCACTAGAAGGCTGTTTTCCTGTAGATGGATTAGCTATGGAAAGGCACGCTATAAACATCTACACCCAATTGAGAAGCCTATAATATTCAGTCTTTTCTTGGGGTTGGGTCCTGACTGTCAAAGTCGAGATGCAAAGCCCATTGTTGCTGCGAGCCCTAAGGAAGGGTGCTGTAATACCCGAAAGCTTGCCTCTGTCTATACCAGTCATACCGCTGGGCTGGTAAAAAATATCACAAGGTAAAAAATTCTCACAAAGCCCATTGAAGTGACTTTAATAAGCTTCCCAGCTTATTAAAGTCACTTCCCAGTGACTTTAATAAGCTTTGGAGCAGACCCACCGAGTCCAGCATGGCGCGCCCCTATTAAAAGCCTTCACCTCCTGCTCAGGTACCTCAGACATCAATGAGTAGAAAACATCACACAATCACCCCTCTTTTTTCCTATTTTTTTTCAATTCTGTTCTCATTTAAAAAAAAACAATTCTTAAAAAAAATCCCTCTATGTCTTTCATAGAAAGAAACTCCATCAGGTCAAATTCATCCCTGGTATAACTCCAGGGGCTGCGATGGAGCTGGGCCAGGGTTGAACAGGACTCATTGTATCTGTCTGTATAGCTCCAGTAAATCTTGGATCGATAGCAGCATTATAGAGAAAAAAAAAAAGGATTCTGTATTTTTGTTCTTTCTCGTGGGTGTTTTTGTTACATCGGTGTTTCTTGGATTGATCTACTTTTCCCCCTGTTATTGGCACACAGACCTTTGTGGCACCAATCTTTTGCATCCAGGACACAATTGGTTACACACATGAGGCAAGGGGACCGTACTGTGTTTTATTAAAGTTGCGCTGGAGAGTTCACATTTGTCACCGGCGGGAGGTGAACGATGCCGGGTCTTTTGTCTTCGGCGCGTTCTCCTTACCGAATAAATAAAGGTGGAAAGGAAAGGCAACGTAAATGGGAATATTGTTTAAGAGGATGAGTCTTCTTAGCACTTCAACTGCTCTCCAGACAGTTTCTCTCCTTGGGGCCGATAGAGGCCATAATTTACATTTTCCAAAAAGCAGTCTCTGATGCGCGGTACTTCGGCATTTGAAAGCCCAACAAAAAAGGTGTCGTAAGCTGGATTCCTCAAATCAATGGCTGCTTTGGAAAATGAAGCCCCAAATGACTTGGATAAGGTTCTTGATAGGTTGGATCAATTTTAGGGCTAACGTTAGACCTTAAGAATAACTCGTTCCCAGGCCTATACTTACACGGCCTCTCTGTCCTCCCCCTCCCCATAGGCATGGAGACTCAGAGCCGGGGCTAGACCCTCCAAATGCATTTGGGTCCATTAAACAAAGATGTGGGTGTTTTTTCATTGAATTTCATGGGTGATAATTGGCCCCGCTCCCCTTCCTAGCAATGCTAGAATGGGAGATGAATGAGTCCATCGTAAAAATGAAGATGTTGAAAAAATCACACGTGGGCCTAGATTCAGATCTGTTGATCTGCGTGGACGGGCCCAAGAGGTGGGATGCTTGAACCCAGGACTGGCTGATGTAGCTTGAGGTTCATCTCCATGGCAGACTGCTACTTTTCTTGACATACCTGCCATGACCCAGGCTTTTCTCTGTACTTCCTAAGCGTAAAGCAACTACTCACATGGGGCTTGATTCTGATCTGCCCTGGACCACTGCAAGTTAGGAAGAAGATTACTGAAGTTACGAGGGTGCTGGGGTAGTGGTGTGAGATCATAATTAGGCCTTCAAGCTCTTCCAGGGTACGCCCAGCCTCTTGAACACTAGTTTTGCAAGTCCCCTGAGCAGGACTAGATGCCTCACTATGAAGTATAATGGCTAAATTCTCTGCTGGTATCACCCCACAGAAGTCAATGGAAGTAGGCTTAGCAGCAAATTTGAGCTATCATTGTCTATGTTCGTTAACTATATACACTTGCGTCCTGTGCTACTTAGGGTCTCGTACAATTCTCAGGAGTGCAGCAATCAAGCTCTTTCTAGAAAAGTGTTCAGGTACGTGACTAACATCTTCTCCATGCGAGTCCTACCACTGAATCGTGGTCTTCAACAATTGCCTTCATTTCTCCATACCCGCCCTTTTCCAGCTTAAGAAACCTGACACATGGATTTCTAAAATACTTGGGTGATATCTTCCTTTTTTAAAGCAAGCACTTGAATAGCTGTAACCTCAGCCATTTCTCTCAGCAACGGCTTCATTCTCTATTCATCTTTTTTTTCTTTTGTTCTCTCTCTCCTTGCCTAAGCAGAAGTCACCCTAGCATCAGACAGCTTGGGGGGGAACCTGGAGAGAACTGGCTCCATCAATTGACTCCTAGGCACAGTCCTGAGCTGCTCCAACCTAAGAGTTATCCCAGGGGATGCCGTAACTCAAATGCATCCCCTTTGAGGCACTGCTCCAACTCTACTTTGTTCTGCTGGGGTTAGGCTCTGTTCCTTGCCTCTCCTGAATGCTGCCTGCTCATCTGCTCTGGTTTCAGGGTATAAGCAGATAGGGGAAGGAGGAATGAGTGGTATTTCTTCCCTATGCAAGTTGGTAGTCACAGGCTTGCCCATGGTCAAGTTCATGGAAAGAGTCCGAAGAGCTCTCTAAAATCCCCATTTCTCGAGGGTGAAAATAAAAATAGTGGTCTATTTCTCATCATGGAAGCCCAAGATGAAGGGAAGAGGAGGAAGGAGACAAAGGAGGTAAGAGATAACCACACCGTGACTCTATGCCTGATTGACCACTCGCTCAGAGCAACATATGCCAGGCGTAACTCAAACGTGGTTGATTTACACTGCTACGAAGCCTAGCATGGATGAGTGGAGATGCAGGCCTAAGAACCCATCGCTCCAAGTGAAGCCCTGATTACCCTACAGCAAGTTAGATGTTACTGTAAACGGGTGACCCTAATAAGTACAGCAGCTTGAAACACATGCACGGGAAGGGAGTCACAGAACCGAGATTGCAATAGCAGAAAGGCGGCAGCTTTGCACAGAGGGCACAGATCTAAACTCTGCTCCCAGTCTGGGCTGGTTCAGTTCCCAGGTTTTGATCCAGCCTGGGACAGAGACGGGTACCAAATGCCAGAACGGCATTTGGATCCAAACCGAGCCAGAGTCTGATGCTGTTCCAAGTTGGGGGTTTGGTTCAGGGCCGTGTCTAGGTAACAGATGACAAATCGTCCTTCAGGACCGTATTCCTGACAAGCTTCTGCTCTAAGGACTGCAATAAGGAAGCTTGAGTGAGCTCGATGGAGAAGATGAAATGAACTAAGTGCACTTTCACTTTCCAGCGGTAATTACATTGTGTTTTAAGCAGAAGGGGAGGGGAAAACTTTTCCCATTTTTCCCTTTACCACGATGGTCTGGGATGCAAGGAGACACGATCACCTGGATCATCGCCAGCAAATGCTCTACCTCCATCCAGAGGCCTGCAGTGCCTGGCATGGCTCATTGGGAGTCTTCTTGCTGCATTGCTATGTCACAACCCGCGGCTGGGACACTGTCTCTGGTCGTGTGAGTTGGGGGAGAAAAGAGCCATTTCTGTCCCAGTGGCCATGCACATCCTACGTCCTCTTCGTGACCCACTCCAGGCACTGAGCGTTTATACACGGCGTATGTGTGCGAATCGCATCCTACAGCACGTGCAATACAGGAGTGTCAGTGGGCCCTCTGTAGAGATCCAGCCGTAGTCTTGCTCTCGCTCCGCAGAAGCACTATATGCATCGCTTCGTGCTATGGCATATCTGGCAGAAGCCACTATGTTAAAAAGTCCATGCTAATAGCTTGTCCATGCTATAGCACTAAAAAATGTTTGCAGACTTCTCCTGTTCCCAGGAGAAGGAGAAGGAGGATTTTTTAAATTAATGAATCAACCCTTTTTAAATTTATTTTTGCCACTCATTTTATACACAGCATCTTGGCATTGGGGATTTCTAATATAGCCTCTCTCCTGGTTAGGAAAGGCAGTATTTAGGAAAATGCGAGTCTTTCAAAGGGCACTTAATACCATGAGTTGCTCCTGCAAAAGGGAAGGGAGAAGCAGACTCATGTTCTTGCTAATGATCTTCTTCTCAGCTCCATGTTGTTGGCTAGTTAAAGAAATCACAGTCTCCTACAGGAGGGATAATCTGGGCACAACCATTTTGTTACCTGCAGGTAGATCTTGGGAAAGCCAAGAAGTCATTAGACCTATTCTATCCAACCAGTTTTAGCCTTTTTATTCTTTTAATATAAAAAAGTAGCGCTCTCTCACATACGCAACCTCGGAAGATGTAGGCTCTAGTCTGTTCCTCCATGGGGAGCCTGCAGAGAGACGTCCGGCTTTATTTGCACGTGTGGACATCGTAGACTCGTATGCATTCCTGACAACGGACATAGCAACACCAGTGGAAGATACAGTGGCACTTCTCTTTCCTTTTCTCAGTCCTCGTGTTGTGCCCGCGGCCGCAGCACAACAGGTCGCATCCATCTATCCCGTGGGAGGTGACGTTGCAGATCCGATCGCGGGTCCCAAAGGAGCCGGTCTCAGGGTTAGGCTCACAAAAGTTCGGTGAGTTCTCATAGTAAACCAGGTCTTTCTCAGTTGGGGCCTTGAAAAAGTTGTATTTGGGCCTCAGCGTCTCCACCCAGCCACGGGATTCCCGGTGCTTCTCCACGACCATTTCAGAAGCGCTGTCGTACTTGTCCTTGAGATAGTCACCAATGACCCTGAAGTCTGGTTGGGACCACCAGCACGTCTTCACTTCACAGCTGCCCGACAGCCCGTGACATTTGCACTTGAGATGCATGAGTTCAATAATAGACTGGAAAGAGAAGGTGGGGGGGGAAAGGAAGAGGGAAACTATTATGACACTGTTATTTCTCCAACATTTCTCATCCTAAAGAACCCCAGTGAGTGAGATAGACCCTTAAGCTGCTGTGAAATAGAGCTGCATTAATGTAGCTCAGGGGCGGGCAATTATTTCGGGCGGAGGGCCGCTTACTGAGTTTTGGCAAGCCATTGAGGGCTGCATGACAGGCAGCCAGGGGCAGATAAATATTAATTTTCTAAATTTTTTAGGGACCCCGCAGGCCAGATAGAAAGGTCTGGTGGGCTGCATCCAGCCCACGGGCCGCATTTTGCCTACCCCTGATGTAGCTACATCACATATAGACGCCTTATGCATCTGGCTCCATCATGTGTCGTGTCATCCCATGTCAAACCTGGCAGAAAAGCCAAGTCTCCCAATATACAGAGGGGTTTCACTGCTGGATGAAGTCCCTCCTATATAGGAGTGTGGAAACATCTCCAGAACTGCATTCGCTCCAAATGTTCCCTTCACCCAGGAGTGATAGGCGGCAGTTTAGTTGCTTGTTATACATCTGCTGGGACATTACTAATGGCTTTGGTAGCACGGGAACTTACAGAGACTTTTCTGCAAGAACTTGAGAGTCTGATGCGCCACCTGCCCACAGAGTTGCTGGATTTTCCCTTTCCTATGAATGGCTTTTTAATAGTGGTCAGCCAAAATGGCCAAGAAATTGGGACAGGACATAAAGAAGTTGTTTGTTGTCTGAAGCCATAGAGAAAATGCCGAGGTACTGTGACTATTAAACCTGGGATTTGGTTTAGGTGCCCACGATAACACTCCCTTTTCTTTCCAGAAAGAGAGGCTCAAGTCAAGGAAGAGTATCGCCAACTGAATCATCGGCTATTTCCTGCTGCACCCTTTGCGTTTTCTCCGAGGGCTTTCGAGGATGCTGAGCAGGTCAAACCTTGACGGCTGAGAGCACAACCACAGCGCTGTCTACGTTTTCTCACCAGCCTCATAATAGCGAGCATTTTCTTTAAAATCACATCTCCCAGTCAGGGGAAATGGTGCAAATCTCAACTTTTCTTAAAAAAAAAAAAAGTCTAGCTCTCACCTTCCTGGTTGCTAAAGATGCAGAAACCAGAAGGTAAATAAAAGGGACCCAAATTGGCACTGATATTTTTTAAAGCAATATCTTTTTCTGAGTTTTAAACCAATCTTTTGATTGTAGAAGCCTGGTTCCTGATTTTTGAATCCTTCAAGCTGGAATATCTCCATTTGTCAGGGGCCGAGCTATGAGATGGAAAGGGTGAAATTCATCCTTGGTTGATATGATAGCTGTGGCCATACGTTTCAATAAGAGTCCTGCTGCCTTTATCTATGGATGAGGTCGGTCCACAGATTTCAAAGGCACTTAGGCGAGAGAGAGCCTTATGCAACCGTACTCAATAAGCTGCGTTTCAGACGGATCAGCAAATTTCTGGGTGCATGAACAGACTAGCTCCAGTCTGCGTCTAAAAGCTATGCCATGAATCAGCACCTATAGTGCGTGATCAATGTTTTCCAGGTGGTTTTTCTTTGTGATTGAGGTAGCATCACTCACTGCTAAGGAGGTTGTAATTAGCTCCGAGAGAACCACAAAGTGTCTGCTTTATATAATAATGCTGTTCTTAATCAAAGCTTTCGGTCTGGAGACTGGAATTCTTATGGGAACTGGCTTGAAACATCTCCGGCGGCTCATTTTTAGCTGGAAATACTTGAACATGGAGACTAGGTACACTCACCAAATGAGTGTTGGCGTGGTGAGAATGGAAAGCATAAGCTGTTTATGGAACAAAAGGATTTTGCTGCCAAGGTGTGGTATCTACTCTGTACCCTGTGATATTTGTAAAGGGCCTAAAACCAGTTGAGAGTCTCAACGTTAGACCTACAACGAGTCTGAATTGTACCTATTGAGCTCTAAACAGTATTTTTCCATTGACGCTCATTATAAAGCAAAACGCACCTTTTCATCCTACCCAGCTCTAGTCTTCATCCCTATAACCCGTTACCATTGGAAGTGCTGGGTAACTCGCGGTACCCGTGTTATTCTGGCCAGCTTTATAGCCATGTAACTATTTCTTTCCTCCTCCTCTGTTAGTTAGTGGTGGTTCCCTAACTTTGTGGAAGGACGGCATCTCTCCTTTTAAAAGAGCCGTGCTTCATGTCTAAAGCCACATCCTCCACCGGTGGCAGAATATCCCCAATGAGCTTCTTCGTGAAATGAGGAACTCCCCCTGAAGTTTTGGCCTGTCCTTGATGGTGGTCCATAGACTGGTGGAAATCCATAGTTTATCCACGTGTGCAGTCATACGTGTTTCTACATACATGAACAGGGTCTGCTCCTACTCCCATTGACATCAATGGCAACACAGGAGTAGAAACAGGCTAATCTATTTTGATTGTATTAGTCACTGGTACTTATCTTCTATATAGGATAAGCAATAAGGTCATGTTTTGTGAGGGGAGGCATCAGGACGTGACTCCTGTAGAGGCTGCTGGAACAGTTGACTCTAAGCCAAGAATGCTTCCTAGACTGAGCCTCTTGGAATAGGCCAAATCTTAGAAAATTAGGGTTGGAGGGGACCCCAGGAGGTCACATCTACTCCAGCCCCCTGCTCAAGGCAGGACCAGCCCCAACTACACCATCCCAGCCAAGGCTTTGTCGAGCCAGGTCTTAAAAACCTCCAAGGACCTCACCACCTCACCACCTCTCTGGGTAACCTGCTCCAGGGCTTCACCAGCCTCTTAGTGAGAAAGATTTTCCTAATATCTCACCTAAATTTCCCTTGCGGCAACTTGAACCCAGAAAGGCCACAGTGCAATCTGGCGGTGGCATGGTTGGTAATGAGCTGTTTTCCCTTTGGGAAACACCAGCACTGGGAGCAAATGTGGGTCTACTGGGGCCTGAAGAGACACAGAAAAGCCTCTGTGAGCATAGAAAGTCTTGGGGCCATGGATTTTTTATCCTGGATTTTTTATCCATGGATTTTTTATCCTGAGTTTGGGTGCTTCCTTCAGAGCCAGGGAGGTTAACACCCACACAGTGACCTAGAGGCTGAGATCCAGACTCTAATCTACCTCTTAATCATCTAGGTGGATTTAAGTACCTAAATGCAATCCTATTCCACTCTGCTTCAGTCCCAGAAAAAAACACTTAAGAGGCAAGGCGGGTGGGTCCTCCTCCTCTTTGCTGCTTTTTGTGACATAATCCTAAGGCTCAAATGATGGCATGCTGTGTCAGATAGGATCACACTTAGGCACCGCTTAGATGGCTAAGAGGTGGCATACAACCTGGCCTTAAAGCTCTGATCTACAACAGGGTGTTGGCACCGTGACACTCGGCATCGCAGCCCTCGACTGTTAGGCACAAGGCAGGGCAGTGAGTGGCGTCTGAGGCTCCCTACACAATGCAGGGGGAGAATTAGGTTAGACACACAAAAAACAACCTGCTGAAACCAGCAAGCAGCAAATGCCATCATTTGTCTTGAATCCTCTGGGGACTTTGGGGGCTTCTTTCCAACACAGAACAGGGGTTGCCTCATCTTTTCAAACACAGCCAGAAGAGGCAATGCTGCTGCAGCCCCTCTCCCTGCCATTATACACTCACTAGGGGGTATATAAGACCTATCTTCAACTCCAAGCTTGCCTTGAGGGGGTCTAAAACCATCTCTTGCATCTCCTAGGAAGGTGGCTTTGATCTCCTCAAGCAGAGGAGGGCCTTCATGATGGGTCTCCTACACCCTTGGTGGGGGGCAGCCCTGCCTGCTCCTCCTTGTGCCTGGCTTGGGCTTGTGGGCATACTATGAGGGTATCTACTCGATTGGGCTCTGTAAGGTGGCTGGTGGAGCCATGTCTTGACCTGTAGATCCTGATCGAGCTTAGGTACAAGAGAGGTGCCTGCCAGGAGCGAGGCACTTCTAGGCAGGTGAGCTTTAATCACCTGAGGAAGTTAAGCATGGAAAACGGAGGTGCCTACAGGTTGTGGGTGCCTTCGGGGCTAGACAGCACTGTGCGGGGGTTTTCCTGGCTGCAGTTTTGAATGTAGATGCCTAACTTTCACCTAAGCCCATCTTTAGGCATCTTTGGTGGATCTTAACCTCCGTCCCCATGCTATGGCAAACCCATATCCCCCGTGGACAGGCAGAGATGGGGTCCCATCACACCCATGCACTGGACAACGTGTTATCCTTGGGATCGGTACCCCCCGATTTATTAGTGAAACCAGTCTCCTACAGTGCTGAGCCCAGGTATGCACTGGAGTTTCCTCCCACCATCTGTAAGGGTTTTAAGAGGCTACAAAATGCCTTTTAGGGTTGCAATAAATGAAAAGCAAACGGCCTTACAGTTCTCCCAGCTTCGTTGTTGTGTCTGTTCATGGCTGACCGAGCGTCTGGCCTGTTCTCCCGGGCGTCCGCGAACTCCCGAGACACCATGCTTCCAAACTCCACGTCCTCGCTGCAACCTCCCCATTTCCAGCCTTCACCGGGGGGCCCTTTGTGGCGGGTGTCGCAGCCACAGATGGTGGCCGAGCCCTCAGCACAGGACCGGGTCACGGCGAAGGCCACGCCAGCGGAGGCAATGGCGTGGACGAAGGCCGACTCCCTGGTAGCTGTGGAGGAGAGAAGCAGGGAAGGATCTGTCACTCAGAGGGGGATGTGACTGACCTGTCCCAATACAGGAAAGCCTCCTTCTGCCTGTAGTGCTACTCGTATGAAGTCCTGTAGCAGGGCATTTCCGGCTCTAGAAGACACTGTGGGTAAGAGCTAGATTGAATTCAAAGTCCTTATTCAGGCTTCACCCAATGAATTTAAGATTTGGCCATAGCAACATAAAAAGCCACAGGGAGCTCTGCCATTGTCCGAGTCCCGATATCCAGCACGGATTCAGGTACATACGGGCTGGGCCCTGACCTCCTCTCCTCTGGAAGGGGAGACCTCCTTCTGTTGCCATGCGCTGCAATTTTTGGGTGCAACCCAGGCCAGATAAGCCACACACTTTTCAGATCCCTGTTACTGGTGATGGCTGGGAAAAAGTCCTGGTCAACAGGCGCTCCAGCACGCTTCTTTCCTACTCATGGAAACCAAGGGCTGTTCTCCTCAGCCATCCTAAATCCACATCTTCCTGCCAACTTGACTGAGCCACAAGGATGCTCTATACATCGCATCTTATGTCTGTCTTATATGTTTGCCCAAATCCTGTGCTGGGAGCTGAGATTGGGGGGAGGGGGGGGAGTTTTCTGCCTCCCCTTCAGCGGCGAATGCAAAGGAAACTACTTTTAACTCTGGGCCGGGCAACTCCAAAGAGTTCATGATCATGAGGCATGGTCCCTACCTCTCATCCTTTAGGCTCTTGAGCAAGAATTAGAGCTGGCTGGGGAATGAGCCACTTTCTAGGCGACTGATTCACTTTCCAGGTGGCAAAATTTGTTTCCATTCCACGTGGGAAATGAAACTTTTGGAGCTTTCTGGTGGAGCAGAACTGTATAATATATGTGTGTGTGTGTGTGTGTGTATACATATATACATATATATGTGTGTGTGTATATATGTATACACACACACACACACACACACACACACACACACATATATATATATATATATATATATGTTTAGTTTCTCATCTGGGTCTTTCTGTCTGAAAATGCCGGAAAGGCTCTGAAGTGGCTCTCAAAAATGGCTCCACTGAGACCGATACAACCCCGCAAAGCGGTCTGGCTTGGGACAGCATTTTTTTTTTGCCGAAAGAAGCCTTTCATCATCAGAAGTGAGCAATGAAGATGATAAAGGTGCTGGAATGCAAACCACACGAGGAAAGCTTGAGAGAATGAGGTGTGTTTAGCTTGGAGACGAGGAGATGAAGCGGGGACATGATAGCAGTTTTTCACATTTTTGAAAGGCTGCCATAGAGAAGAGGAAGAATGACTGTTCTCCCCTGCCACGGAGAGCAGGGCAGGAGGCAATGAGTTTAAATTGCAGCAAAGTGGTTTTAGATTATATCACAGAAAATAAACTGTCTCACTGTAAAAAACATAGGAGGATAGAAAAAAACTGCCCGGAGAAGCTGTGGACTCTCATTGCTTGGAGATTTTCAAGAAGAGGCTGGATGGGCATGTGTCTGGGATGGTTTATGCTTCATTTTTGCAGGGGGTTGGACTAGATGACCTGTGAAGTCCCTTCTTACCTATGATACTAGGGTCAAAATTGTTCCAGTGAGTTCTAATTGCAGCCAAAAGGGAAATATGGAAAGATTGCAATAAAGCGTACCCTTGAACCAATTGTACCTTGAACAGCCCTAGTGAGCTGTTTCTTTGTCTATGGCCTTCAAATCATTCAGATACACTTTGGGGGCACTCATACATCTTTGATAACCAGGATCCATAGAGATAATGGACCAGAATGACACAAGCTAGACCCATTGACTTCAACAAGCTTATGCCATGCTGGCATCAGCTAATAATCTCTCCATAATTTTATTCCAGTCATTTTTGCACTGCATTTTTATGCCCAGTCTGGGCCCTTTTTTTGCTCATAAGAGGAATGTATCACTTACAACTCTAAGCTATAGGAGGAGCAGGTTTAACAAGCTTAGTCCAACACCCAAATGTTCTCTGGATAAAAAACATTGCTAGGTGCTAGACAGCCTGCCCCATCTAGACTGAACGTTGGAGCCAGGATCTGCGCTGCCCTGCTTCCCTTTGGGAAAGCTACCAAACTACAATATATGCAAATGAAGGAAAATGCATGAAACTACAAGCAGAAGCTATGAGCAATGTCCTGGAACATAATGTCAGCGAGGTTAGTAAGTCGTTCTCAGGGGTTGAGCCAAACGAATGTCTCCAGAGCCTCAAGTGGGACTTTTAGGCACTATTTAGGTGCTGAAGTCCAAGGCTGTGATCCTGAAAACCTCCACTTGGCTACTGCCTAACCCAAGAGGTGCCTTAACTTCATGGGGATTGTGGTTGGTGATGTGAATATTCTCCCGGTGCCTGAAAGCTGTCCTGGGATCCAGAAACCAGGCGTTCCTGCAGCAAAGTTCCCTGAACAGCTAAATCTGGTGGACATCTCAAAGCTTGCATAATGCACACCATCAGGACAGAGCCCTTTCTAACATGCAGTGGTGACCACTTTCTTTGGAGAACGCATCTTGAGGAGTGTGGTGCTCAGTGGTTAAAGCACTTGCCCAGGAGGTGGGACACCTGGATGCTAACCCTGTCTCAATGTGAGAGGGGATTGATGCTTACAGTGTCTCATCGTGCAGGAAGATGCCCTAATCATCATGTGACATAAGAATATAGAAGTGCCATTTACTGGGTCAGACTAGTCCATCCTACCCAGGGTATTCAATGTTTGGATGCATCATAGGGGCAGAATGACATTTTCTGTTTTGTTCACAATTCCCTTCTTAATAATCCCTAGTATTTTCTTTGACTTTTTGATGGCTGAGCATTACGCTGATGTGTTTAATGAACTCCCAGATCTCTTTCCTGTGTGGGAACAGTTAATGTAGAGCCCATCACAGCGTAGGTCTCGTTTGGGTTACTTTTGCCCCGGTGCATCACTTTATCCGTCTATGTTGAATTTCCTCTCCTCTGCTCTTTAGTTTCCCTTTCACTTAATAGTTAGTGCCAGATCCTTCTGGGCAGCGGTGCTCCCAATCTCTTCTGTAAGACGGAGCATGGCTCTGAGTAGCTTAGAGGTTAAAGCATCTACGTGGAGGAAGGGGGGGAAACGTGGGTTGGAAGTCTAAATGTCACACAGCACTTCTCTGGGAAGATCCCAAAGAGCTTTGTAGCTTGCGTTGTGTGGCGACCACCCAGTCCCCTTGGAAATGCAGCCATCTCTGGGGTGGAACACAGGAAGTGTTTAACAGGAAGCAATGTGGTCCTGGAAACAAGGACCTGTACCGCGAACTCCTCTTGTCCCAGCCGAGTGCTTCAAACACCTGTTATGGAATCAGGCTCCTTCTTGCTCGCTCTTTTTCTGCCCTGTTAAATCTGGATTTCTTTTCTGCACGATGACACAGATGCAGCAGGTTAAGTGGAGTGTCCCTCCCCAGCCTACCCCAGACCCAGTGTATAGGGCATGATTCTGGGAAGGGGGAGATGTGCATTTGGACTTCCTAGGGTGGTTGGTATTGAACTCGGGCTTCCTACTTTTTGGGCAAGTGCTCCAACTAGGATGTGCTATGGAAGGGGAGCAGCATCACCCTCTGCTCCCTTTGGCTTTGCTCTAGGAAAAAACCCCTCGTTCCTACTGAAATTTTAGAGATCGTGGTTCTATGCGAGCAGGTTAGTCATGCTCTGAGAACAACCAGCGGATCAAGCCCTGTGCATTGGTTTCTCCGGGCAGAGGGAAACCAAGTTCCTGGATGCTGACTGGCTTTAGGGCCTACTCAGCCCTGTCCAAGAAAAGCACCTCTGAATAGAGGCAGAAGTAAAACTTTCAAGCACTAAGGGACCTTAAAGACACAACCTGCAGTGCCTAGGGAGGTTAGGTGGCAGCTAGACAGGGGTCCCTAAGACCACAGCTTTGGACTTAGATACTTGAATTCCACCTGAGTTGCCAAATCCCTTCCTTATTGGAGTCAGCCCTTATAGAAACTTCCACATGAGGCTTTTTATTGTTCTTAATAACTTCAGATTTAACACAGCGCTTCTGCATCTCCAAAAGCAATCTTCAGGCTGTATATTTAGGGATCACTCCCATGCCTACACAATGCAGGCATGTTTGGGGTGGAACACAGCCACGCTTTGCAGCATGAGACTGGAAGTAAATGGCACTATGTTCAGTTGTCACTACCAGGGATTTCAGGTAGGCAGAATGTAGCCTGCAGTCTAGCTCAGGGCCCCGAGGCTAAAAATCCAACTCTGGAGAAAGCTGCCAGTTGATCCCTGAAAAACAACAAATAATTAGGAGCCAAAACTCAAGGTAGAAGTGATATCTTTTATTAGACCAGCTAGATTTTTGCAAAAAAATTAAATACATTCTTTAATTGCAAGCTTTCAGGCACAAGCACCCTTCTTCAGGCATAGGAGAAAAGATTGCAAATATTCTCCTGGGTAGAAATGAAAGTTCAAGAGAGTTGAAGGTGTGGTCAAATCTCCTGTTTGGAACAGCTCGTTTTATAAGCAGATTAGGCTCAGAGAAAAGAACAAGAGATTTGACCATACCTGCAACTCTCCTATGAAATATGAACTTTCATTTCTACCCAGGAGAACCCATACAATCTTTTCTCCAATGCCTGAAGAAGGGTGCTTGTGCCTGAAAGCTTGCAATTAAAGACATTATTTTGGGGTTTTTTTTGCAAAAATCTAGTCAGTCTAATAAAAGAGATCACCTCTACCACGAGTCCTGATTAATTTTGCCTGTAGGCCAATACAGCTAAAACCTGGATACCTAATGAATAATTAGGGCATTGGGATTACATCTTTCACCCCTAACTTCAAGCTGGGGCACGGGGCTCAGTTGTGACGCAGATGGAAGAGCACCATCAGGTGAATCACTTCCTGCAGCCAGGCTGAGGACGAGGCCCTTTCCCTGATTACTAAGCAGCCCTGACCCTGTCGAGCTGTGGAGATCTCACCAGGTCATAGCCCCAGGCAGCCTG